TGATGAGGGCAATGAATGTACAAATGTGCTTTACACAATTGATGTATGTATGGATTGTGATAAGAGTTGTATGAGCCCCTAATAAAATGATTAAAAAAAGAAAACATTAAACTTAAAAAAGATCAAACACTAGCAGCAGTGCACTCCATCTTAGCATCCCATCTACAGATTCAATGGAAAAGAGGCGCCCCAAAGCCGTCCCCTCCTCTGGAACCCAGATAGGCTGGGTCGGAAGGAGCACAGAGTCAGGAAGAGCCCTGGACTTCCAGAGAGTGAAGGGGCTCTAATGACCTCTGTCCAGGACATGATCACACTAGGAAGTCTGCTACCCTTTCCCGTCCTAGGTTTGGATTTGAACCACGGCTTCTCCTGAAGCCCCGGGGGATGTAAGTGATTAAGCGCCTGACTTAAATGAAAAGGTTGACTTTAATATTCAAACGGAATTTTCTATCCTCCTTTAGAAACCGATCCTACCACCCTGCCTCCCCGTATCTGCAGCTGGCACTGTCACCCACCTAGGAAGGATCCTCAGTAGCACAATAAGTGCTCAGCTGCTATCCAAGAGGTTAGTGGTTCGAACCCACTCAGCAACTCAATGGGAGCAAGATCTGGTCATCAAATCACAGCTTAGAAAACCTCCGGGAGTGGTTCTACTGCTCAATGGGGTCTCCGTGTGCTACCTAACGACAATAACTCCGTGTGCCACCTAACGACAATAAGCAAGGTCCTAATAACTCCGTGTGCCACCTAACGACAATAACAACCTACCAAGGTCCTAAAGTCAAAAACCTGAGTGCCAATTTTCACTCTTCCTCATTCCCTCGGGCAGTATCCCATCAACCACCACATTGTATTCATTCAACTCTCCACATGTTGCTTGCATGTTTCCCCTTAGCCTCGACTCCCACAGCAAGTTCCCTAAGCAAAGTATCACCATGGGCCACACACACTAGTTTCCTTCAGCCCTGGCCTCTATCAATCCATTCTGTAATCCACAAGCCAAACTTCCTTTGCTAAAATACTGTAACGGCTTGATTTGACAAAGGTGGTCTTTTAGACCTCTCTGGTTTCATCTCTCTACCATGAGCCGTAGCTCTACCTGCCTGTTTTCGTTTCCTCAAAGGCATCGCACTCGCTCTTATCTGTGACCCTCTGCATGTTTCCTGCCCTATCATACTTCACAGTAAACAAAAGTGTACCAACCCAGCGCCATCTAGTCACGTCTGACTCACAGCGCTCCGACATCAGAGAGGAGAGAGGCTGCACAGGTCTCCAGGGCTATAAACCTCATCTTTCTCCCACACAGCCTTACCAAATGCAGGCGGGCACCTCCCATGACCTCCTGTGTCACTCCGAACACAGATCTACGCACTGTTTCACAGCTGCGCAGATAATCATGCTAATTTTTTACGCTACATGTGACTGGAACTCCAGGAAAAAGAATAAATCTATGTAGCCCATTTGCCTCATAATTTGTATGTCACATTGACAATATAAATATTTTTTAAATGGATGGTACAGGAGAGATGGCTAGATAGGTAGGTGGGTGGGCCAAGTTTATTATAAAATGATGAAATTTCAAAAACTAATTTAACCATGGAAAAAGAGTGAGTTGATAGAATTGAGAGGACAATTATTTCTGATTGAAAATAGAATTCTAATTTAGAAACAAAAACAATGAAAATTCAAATCAAGTTTGTGTTGAGTATAGAAAATTGATAAGTAAAAGGAATTGGAAATAAAATCTTGCGGCAAATCCTGTGGAGTAGGCGCTAGGCTGAAAATGAGAAGCCTGAATGATAGCCACAGTCAGTCAGCCAACCAAGGACATACGGAGAATCATCACCTGGGACCTTGGTAGCAGAGAAGACAGTCAGAGAATTCAAGAATCTCAAATAAAACAGAATAAAGAGAAAAAAAACAGAATAAAGAAAAGGAGGAGTATCGAGTATGAAAGAGCCCTGGTGACGCTGTCAGTAAGTGATGGGCCACCAAGAGCAAGGTCAGTGGTTCAAACCTATCAGCTCCTCCTTGGGAGAAAGAAGAAGCTACCTGCTCCTATAACGATTCACAGCCTCCCTGTACAGATCACTCCGAGTTAGGCTTGACTTCACAGCCGTGAGCTTGGTTTGGCTGACAATTTGTCTCAGAGAGTTCTCAAAAGTCAGTTCTTTGGGAAAATGTCAAAGGTAATGCCACGGACTTAGCAAAGTATGCATAAAGTTCTGGAAACAAGATCTGCTTCGTTTTCATCATGATCAATCTTACTTTGGAGGGCAAGGATAGTTCAGTTATTATTCTTTAACAAATTAGTCATCTAATAACCAAGCCCAGTGAGATTTTTGGAAGTATGGATAAAGATGTATATGATAAAATAGTCTCTAATTGTACAAAAAGATCGCTTTATGGGGTGGGGGGAGAGACATAGCTCTACAAAGGAATATATCATAATGCCAGAGAAATCCTTAGGGTCCCCCTTACCTGAGCACCACCTAGCACGGCAAGGCCCCCAGCCAGCCTCACTGTGGGACAATGAAACTGTTTACACTTG